CCTCACTGGAGGGGCCAGAGGGACTGACTATCGATTCACCTTTTCACTGTCCATCTGAGGAGATCAGGGCCTAGGAAGGGGAACAGGCTGGCCCTCAGTCACACAGCCAGACAGGGGCTATTCTAGAACCCAGGTCTCCAGGCTACCAGCTCCCTTCTCTCACCCAGGCTCAGCGGTCCTGGCCTGACCTTGGCCAAGGCCCCACCTCCAGGGAAACTATTGGTGTGTGGAGGGCAAAGGGCTGTCCCTTCTTAGGTCCCAAGTGGCTGTGTCAGCCAAGTGTCCCAGGTTCCCAGTTTACACTGGTGTTGGCTGGTTAGAGCCTTCCGAGGCCAGGCCAGGCTCAGATGGAGCCAGATTTCAGATGCAGTCCGGTGAGAACTGCACTGCACTGCCCTCCGGCCACCCTGCTGGGGATGGATCAAATTCCAGTCCCTTGAGCCTTTCACCCAGGCTTGAGGACAAAAGGGCTCTGAGCATGAAAGGGCACAGCGCCAAGATCCCATGTGGTCCAGCCAGGGGCATCTGCCTCTCTCTCCCATGAGCACAACACCAGGACCAAAGATCCTGGGACAGACAATTTACTGCTCTGGTATATTTATTTATTTTTAACTGATGTTTAGAGAGAGAGGACAGACGAGGGGGAGAGAGAGAGAAACATTGATGTGAGAGAGAAACATCAATTGGTTGCCTCCTGCATGCACCCTTACCAGGGCATGTGCCCTGACTAGGAATCGAACCAGCAACCTTTCGGGGCATGGGATGACGGCCAACCAACTGAGCCACATTGGCCAGGACTCTCGTGTATTTATTTTTTAAGGAAAAATGCCTAGAACTGAATTTGCTGAGTCAAAGGAACCCACATTTAAAGATTTTGGTGCCCAGTCGGTGTGACTCAGTAGTTGAGTATTGACCTATGAAACAGGAGGTCACGGTTCGATTCCCAATCAGGGCACATGCCCGGGTTGTGGGCTCGATGCCCAGTAGGGGGTCATCCAAGAAGCAGCTGATCAATGATTGTCTCTCATCATTGATGTTTCTCTCTCTCTCTTTCTCCCTTCCTCTCTGAAATCAATAAAAATATATTAAAAACACAGATTTTGGTGAACTATCAGCAAGTCATCTTAGGATTTTGCATCCGTTTCTGCTCCTTTAGGAGGGTGCTCAGTGTGAGGCGTGTTCTCCCCGGGGTCACCAATCACGCGAAGGCCCTCTTTTTATTTTTGCCAGTCGGATGGGCCAGCACCTCTTGCTCCTGGTTTTTTTGTTTATTTGTTTCACTGTTTGTCATTGAAGAGAGGTTCTCAGATTCAATGTATATCAAAGTAATCGATGGTGTTTGTTATGGAAATGCATGCAGCCCTAACCGGTTTGGCTCAGTGGATAGAGCGTTGCCTTCGGACTGAAGGGTCCCAGGTTCAGTTCCCGTCAAGGGCATGTACCTTGGTTGCCGGCACATCCCCAGTGAAGGGTGTGCAGGAGGCAGCTGATTGATGTTTCTTTCTCATCGATGTTTCTAACTCTCTATCCCTCTCCCTTCCTCTCTGTAAGAAATCATTAAAATATATTTTAAAAAAAAGAAAGAAAGAAAATGCATGCAAAAGTACAGCTAGCAAAGGATTTGTCCCTAGATATATAAACATATTAATAAGAAGACAATTTAAATGGAATAGACACCTCCTCGAAGATCCACAGATGGCAAACCACCACACCTTTAGTCTTAGGGAAATGCAAATTAAAACCATAATGAGATACCACTCCACACCTGCCAGAACATTAAAATCAAAACCCAACCCAATCTCAGCCAGAATGTACAGCCACCGGGACTTTCACGCCCTGTTGGTGGGAAGGAGCATAACATGACACCACCACTTCGAAAAACTATTGGCAGTTTCTTAAAACGTGAAACATACACCAACCGTATCATCCAGCCGTTCCACCATTAGGTATTTAGCCACGGGAATGAAAGCATTTGTCCCCACGAAGACTTACACACAAGAGCTCCAACAGCCTGACTTGTGATAGCCAAATATTGGAAATTACTAAAGTAGCCATCCATATGTGATTGAATGGGGAAACTAATGATTGCAGATCCTACTCAGCAATAAAAGAGGGAACTGTTGATAAACACATCCAGAGGGATGTACCTCAAAATAATTAGGCTGAGAGGAAAAGCCAGGCAAAGGAAGAGTGCATGCGGCATGCTTTCATTTGGATGAGATTCTGGAAAATACAAACAGATCCACAGTGATAGAAGGTAGACCAGTGGTCGCTTCAGGAAGAGTGGGCGAAGAGCAAGAAAGAAGGGATGATTATAAAGGGACCAAGAGCGGTGCCCGCAGCAGTCCCCTAATCTGTCTCACGCTTCAACAGTGTTTGGACAGAACAGACCCGGCCACCTTCAGAACCATCTCAGCCACCCTCGGCCTCCGAGAGCTTAGCTCCTCATTGCCGAGCAACCATGAGCTCTCAAATTCAGAAGAATTATTCCACCCAGGTGGAGGCCCCGGCACCGCCTGCTCAACCTGCACCTATCTGCAGGCCTCCCACACCTACCTCTCTCTGGCTTCTATTTCCACCTCGATGATGTGGCTCTGAAGGGCGTGGGCCACCTCCTCTGAGAGCTGGCCAAGGAGAAGCGTGAAGGCGCCGGGCGTCTCTGGAAGATGTAAAACCAGCGCAGCGGCCTCGCCCTCTTCCAGACCTGCTGGACCAATGAGCGGGGCGAAACTCGGGGTGCCCTGGGAGCGCCGTGGTCCTGGAGAAGAACCTGAACCGGGCCCTTTGGATCTGTGTGCCCTGGGTTCTGCCCAAACAGATCCTTAGCTCTGTCACTTCCTGGAGAATCACTTTCTGGATGAGCAGGTGAAATTCATCGAGAACATGGGTGACACCTGACTCACCTCTGCAGGCTTCCGGCCTCCAGGCTGGATGGGCGAGTAGCTCTTCAAAAAGCTTATCCTCAAGCACGACCAGAAGACTGTGGAGCTCAGAGGCCTTTGAGGGGCCCCTCCACCACCTCCTGGTGTCTGGCTTCTGCCTGAGCCTCTCCCTGCGACTAGGCATCCTTTTAACCACGCCGGCGTCCCTCTCCCATGCCTCAGACCGAATGAAAACAATAAAG